TATGTCATTATATAACCATTTATCTAATTGAGTGTACCCTGTGTCTATCCTTGATTGAACGTTTGAGCATGGCTACGTGCATACCTTCTTTTTGCATACATCAGTGTTTCTGTCAATTTTTTTATAATAGAGTCCTCTTATTTCCCCGACTTACCTACTCTTCATTCCAATACTCTATATGTGTTAAAATCTCATCAACGCAGACTCTGCGTCTGCTTGCATATTCCATTATCTTTCTTTATCTCATTGGCCTTCAGTCGTCGGTGCGAGCTTTCGACGGTCTTGTTCAGCTTGACCTCACTCGTCAACATGCCGCTCTTCTTCTCAATGGCCAGCCTTTGGTCCGCCTTTCCACAGCTGCAGGCTCCACTACTCCGGCCGAGACCTCAACCCCCCCCGTCTGTGACCCTGGTTTTATTTCGGGCATTGTAAGTGGCCAAGTTGATTCGATTTTATGCAATGACGTCATTCAAGCGACATCTGACACCATTGTTGGAAATGTCGCTTGCGGAGCAGCCGGGCATCCCGATGGGGCGAGTATGATAATAAGGTCTAGATCATCTTCTCCATCTGTTTGCTGCTCCTCTCTTTCTCACGCTGTGTCTTCTACCTCATTATGTACCTCTGCCAGTGCCATCGGGGCTATCACCAAACCGACTGCTGCTTTAAGTAGTTCAACTATTCAGTCATTTGGATGGGACCGGTGTCAACAGAACCATCATCTGAGGGCAACGCCGAATCCTATCCAATCTCAAGAAAAGCATCAGATACTTATGCATCCGGCCGGGATAGCTACTCCCTGGGCCAGCTTGACGGCAGGCCTTGACTTCAATGGAGGGGTTTACACATGTGTAGGCCCGGCAGGGGGTATGGAATCAGATAATGAAAGTTAGTAAAAATACCTTGATTTTGCAGCTTTTATTTAAGCACTATAAACGACGCACTACTTTAACTTTTACCTAAATTATTTATTTTGCCTTTCTTGCCATGAACTCTCTTATCGCCCTATCTCTGCAATGATAGGCAATAGAAGCCCAGAGTATGCCAGCACTAGCTTGGTGGATGGCTATCTTGGCCCCTCCTGCGTCGACTCTGCGACCTTCTATCCTGCTCCGGTAAATTTGATGGCTGATCATGCGGCGACAGCCATGTTTTCAGAGACAAGCTCTGGAGTATTGGCGTCGGTCTCTTCAGACTATCCATACACCACTGAATTTTCAAGCATGCCGCAAAACAACAAATACACACCTCCAACTCCACCGCCTCTTGGGACAAGAGCAGGTCTAGAACTCCCCTCAGGTTTTGCCACCGGCATGACCAATCTGGCTGCTGCCACACTTGTTAGACATCAGCTTCGGCAACAGCAGCAGCAGCAGAGTAAACAGATACAGCAACATCAAGTTTACTTGCAACAGCAACGGCTTTGTCAATTAAATCATCTTTATCCACACACTGTTATCCGGCCCCATTGCAAATATCAGCAGCAGCAGCAGATGATGATGATGACGAAATTGAATCAGCAAAGCGAAGATCTAGATCTTGAGAAGCAAAAATTAATCTTTATACAGCAACAAAAGAGTCAAGCACAACTAAATGGGGCACCAAGTGGCATCTCCATACAAATGCCTTTATCTAGGCATTTGGCCGCATTTGGTACAGGACGATTTCTCGGGCTGGAGGGCACCGGAGTCATGACTCCTCAACAGGTGATTTCTTATCCCACTCAGGAAGCGCCTCTGCATATTAAACCGGAACGGCAACATCGTCCGCCTAGCTCACTTCCTGGTCAGATCAGTAAGTTCGACACAGTGCGAAAATGTCTACCGATCGGATAATTTAAAGCAAAATTCAAGTATATGTAGGCAATGAACTTGTTCCGATTAAAGAGATATCTAGGTCAATGGACTAATATATATATATATATATATATATATATATATGAAAGACTGGTGGTTGAATTTTCCCAAAATGATATAAGCAGATCTTACTTTTACATTAAATTTCAAATAGCCTTGTTCCCAAAAGCTATTCTTATCCATTTTCCTTGCTTCTCTTCAGCTTACCGATTCTTTCATCCCATCTTTTTATTCGTTGCATGCTTCTGATTAACCTAAAATTCATCTTTCCATTCTTTTTTAAAAATTATGTTTTAAAGCCAATACTCTTAGTTTTTATCCCCTCATTAATCACACCTTTCAAGATCGATATTGTCGATATCACAAACACACTATAATACGCAAGGCATGTACAAATCATTGTTGAATTAGAAATAAAACAATCATTTCTTACACGGATCTACTCAGTTCTGAACCATTGGTACAGTGTATTCGTGCGAAGAAATTCCAAGATTCGCTCCTTTATGCAGTTGCTTAAAAGGTTTCTACATTTTTCGTCTCGAAGAGATAAACAATATCTGAATTTGTCAGAAACAAAACGTATTGACGTGCCAACTTTATATCCAAAGAGGTTGTTTGACCTTATTTTCGCAACATGGTCATATTGGTAGGAAGACTCATTGGAACGCACCTCGTC